TAATTTTACTTTTTCTTGCTGATATATGAGCCCGATCAACTTGCGTTTATCAACCAAAATTTCATAACTTGTTCAACTTGATATTGATATTGCTCAGTAGTCAGGACCTCTGTCAGCCTCCTGGATACTTCAGATTGTTTTAGTCAACATGCTTCTTAAATATGATATAAGTCAATCTTAAGGGATTCAAAACATCCAACAAAACGACGTACAAGAGCAAGAAAACCACCAGATAAACTAAAAAATGGCCTTGGAACAGAGCCAAGTGGTGCTCCATTTGTTTGTTTACATTGATTGTAGTGCTGATGTATTTTTAGGACTCTGAAAGTCGGCTTATAAAAAATGAAACGTTTTTACAAAAGTTGTAAGGCAAGTAATATTTATCTGAAAGAACTAAAATATTCAAAAGCCAAACACTATGAAATACATGAATCGGAACGAAAAAGTAACCAAAAAATCCAGCCTAATCACCGGCTCCTAAAACTGCAACACAATCGGCACTTTTCCCCGCAACTCGTTGTCCAGACGTAAATATGCCGATAACAGACAGCGCTTGCGCGCGCCCCGCGCGTCCGAATCAGTCCACTCTTGGGATATTTCGAATAAGTCTCAAGGTTTACATTTCAAACTTTCCGCATGGAAGCCTTAGTTTTTAGGTGCTTTATTTGTAGTTGCCTGCCTAGCTGCTTAGACAAGAGACTATATCTAAATAAAGCTGAAATTCACAAGTTTGTTAGCCATTTCCCAGTAAATAGATTTTATTAATTTTTTAAAACTTATTTTGCCGATAAAAGTGAATGTTCTTCAAGCTGCATCATTTTGTCTCAAAAGCTTGTAGTTACGAATTATGCTTCAAAAATTCAACCTATTTCTATCTTAAAGAATATTTCCTGTTCCTCAAATCTAACATAATGCGGTAAGAGATGGATTCATTTCCATATTAATAGTCATAGTCAATTATTCACCGTGATTTCCACTTTTTGGATATTACAGTGCGTGAGATTTATGTCAAAATATTTCTAAAAGTCTTCAGGACGAACGTATACTAAAAAGATCCCCTGTTTTGTAACAATTGCGTCACTCCTGTCTCATTTATAAAGTATCTCGCTGTGTTGTGTTGTGTGATTCTTTCTTTTGGCGTTAGTCTCGCTATCTCAATCTGTTGGTTAATAGTCCAGAAATAGTCCAATAAAATAGAAATAGTCCACCTTTAACATGGGGTTTTGAACTGTAATGGCAGTTTTGTAGCTTGAGCTGAGACTAGCACAACAGGAGTTTTTAGGCCCCAGCCCCCCCAACGATCAGTGATCACAGTATATACTGATACGGCCTTGGTGATCACCTCAACCTTAGATGAAGAATGAAGATAGGTATTCCATTTCTCGTTCAGAGGCCAGTTTTACCAACAAAAGTAGCCGCCTGCCGGATTTTTTTTGTCTTAAGACCATTTCACATACGGAGCGTAAACGTGATAAGCACGTAAGCGGATAGGGCTTTACCGCTCTCAATTCGTACCTATGTGAAGCGGCTTATAGCCAAAAAATTCCGGCAGGCGGCTATTTTTCTGTGGGTAAAACTGGCCTCATTACCAAGAAAAGGTGACCTCAAATTCGTCTATTCTTAGCAGCCGAACTGGCTGAAAAAGCCATAACTAGATGATTGCACTATTATCTATCACTTGAACATGAAATTTGCACAAAAGAAACTTTCAAGACCACCTAAGGACCAAAAAGCACCACCGAAAAGATACCCACGAACTTAATACATGGGGTGGCTCGCGTGGAAGTTCGTTCGCTAACTTAGCGAACAAACTATTTACCCGCAGATGGAAGTCTCTGGCCAAAGTTACCCACCGACTTAAACGTGAGATAAACGCCAACTTACCCGCAAACCACTTACACGCGACTTACCCGCTTGTGGAAGTCTCCAGCCTCTATCTTTTATTTACTCTGATGGGTATTAGGTATAAGGTACCCTCATCAATATCCTAGCTGTCCCGTAGCTCAGTTGGTAGAGCATCAGACTCCCGGTAGTGAGAGCCCGGGTTCGAGACGCTCCGGCGCTCGATATATGAGACTCCTGACGGGGATGGTCTGAGGTTGGTGGGAGCAGCCGCAGCGAGTTGAAGTTAGTTGAGTGGGACAGGCCGTGTCCGGCTTTGAAGGGCACGTTAAACTTTGGCATCTAAATTCTCCAGTTACCCGGAATTGCGCGATCGGACGGTAGGGGTCGGGGTCTACGCAACAAGCTCTGCTTAGTGTGGGCTCCGGCTCTGTCAATCCGTCCATTCAAAACATTCGAGCTAAATTTATAAAAAAAAAATATCCTTGGAAACTATAGAACCAATTCCAAGCCCCTGTTACGATGGCCTTGCCCGTTACCTAGGCACATGACATGTCACTACTGGTCTCCACCGACCAAGGGCTATATTTGGGCCGGCGGCCAGGCCATGACGCGTGGGGATCGGGCCTCCGAATGACAGCGGAGCTGTAACGTGTGTTCTCTTTACCACGATATGAGAGAAGGGAATCGATCCCGCAGCATCATGGATAGTGGACACATGGCTTGATCATCACTATTCATGATTCACATTGTGTGAACATTTAGGATTCACCATTCTCCATTATCATGTTTTGGTAGGTACAACACTTGCTGGGTAACTTCATCTTCATGTGATACTTGGGGAAAGCTCAAGATGTACCTTGAGTGATGCAGGTATTTGTAGATTGTAAGCATGTGTTGGCAAGTTGGCCCTGATATGTTTTGCAGGAATGCAAATGAAATTGGTGTCAATTTGACTTTTGTTCTCTACAAACCCTTGATATAATAACACGGAACAAAAATGATAGATTACAGATTACAGATTACAGATATATTCAGACAAGGTCCTCTCAATAGTGAGGCTTTTCACATGTCCACGTCATGATAGTGTGATACAAAGCGAGGAACAGTGTGCAGCACGCATAATTCCCACACACGCACCCATACATGCTATTGCTCATGTCTGTTGCTTAGACAGCAGCACCTTTCGGATGTTCGCCCGGTACGACAATGTCCCTGGTTCTACTCCAAGTTCGTTCATACGAGTCACACCTCGGTAGCACAATCTACGTCTTCCCGACTCCGTTCGAATGAAGGGGAGGGTGAGGTAGCTGGCCTGCCTAGTGTTGTGCCGGTGCCGCTGGCTAGCCCGCTGCCCCAGCGTACCTTTGAGGTACTCCGGCTGCTCCGACACAAAGATACGCTCGACAGCACTCACTGTGTGGTATGTTACCAAATCCTTGGCAGTCAACCACTTCAGTTGCTTGATGACAGCCGCCACGCTATCACGTCGTCGCCGACCGGACACAACGCGTGCACAAAAGTTTATAACTTTTTGCAGCCGTCCTAACTGCACCTCACCACACGAGCCGTACACAGACAGACAGTACCGCAGCACAGATACAACCAGGGCTTCAACTATCGGCTTCAGTGCTGACCGCGTTATAACGTGACGAGCATGCAGTAGCGCTGTCAGCATCCCGGTACATTTCCGCGCCACACCGTCTACATGGGACACAAAGCTGAGGTGACGGTCGATCGTCACTCCTAGATTTTTAACAGTTTCTGACTCTGTAATGGTGGTAGAGCAGAAAGTCAGCGTGACAGGCGGCAAATTGCGAAGCATCGCTGGGGTACCGATCACAAGCATCTGTGTTTTCGCAGCATTAAGTCTCATTCCATTGTGGCAGAACCACTGATAAATTCGACCCAGTGCATCCTCCATACGCGCGGTCAACAGATTCAAGTCGCTCTTCTTGCCAGTAACCATCAGCTGGGTGTCATCAGCATACTGGACTACCGTGACGTCATCGGGAACACACAGACACAGATCGTTTGAGTACAGCATGTACATGAGACAACTCAGGGCGCCGCCTTGGTATACGCCAATCGCGTTAGCCTTGCTGTCCGACAGCAGTGTCGAACCGTCCGCGCACCTCACTTGGACCTGCTGCGAGTGGTGAGCCAAATAGGCACGGAACCATGTGGTTTCGATACCGTACACAGACAATTTGTCGAGAAGTGTAACATGAGGAACAACATCAAAACATTTTGAGAGGTCTAGTAGTACCAAGATACAAATGTTACCATTGTCCATTGCCTGAAGAGCATGATCAGTAAAGACGTGAAGCGCGGTTTCCGTTGAACGTTGTTTTCTATAACCGTGTTGGGCGTCCGAGAGAAGGAAATTTTCTTCGAGATAAGAGACCAACTGTTTTTGCACGACACGTTCAACTAATTTCATAATCGCAGGCAGGATGGAGATGGGACGCGTGTCGGACGGCTCGGTAGCCCTCGTTCCTTTCGGAATTGGGGTAACCAGAGCGTGTTTCCAGTCCTGCGGTACTACTCCGTTAGAAAGGCTGGAGTTCACAACATCCAAAACCGCATGGCCAATCCCGGGAAAGAACTTCTGTAACATGCGCACACTGACACCGTCCTTGCCAGTCGACATAGATGGTTTCATCGACAGCAATGTGGCATAAAGAGTGTCCAAATCGGTAGGTTGCACCTCAAACGCACACGTCAAAACTCTCGGGAGTCGCGTGGGCACACGTACAGTAGCGGCGGGGACACTGGCTGCAGTGGAAGGACCGATCGCAACATAATAATCATTCAATGCATTCGGCGTGATTCTCGGTATCTCGCAGGACTGCTGCTTCCTGCCCACGACCGGCCGCAGCACTCGCCACAGCCCGCCCCGGTCACCGCGGCTGATAGCACCAGCATACCGCGCGCGGGTCTCGTTCCGCACGGCGGCGCGGTACAGCCGGTTCACCCGTTTGTACTCGGCTCGATCGCCCCGAGCTAAGGCCGCGCGGCGGGACTGCAGCAGCTGCTGGGTCTCGGCTGACACGGGCGGCGCAGTCACCTGCCTTTCACGGACGCGTTTGAGCGGTGCGACAGCATCCAATCGTTCAACGAACGTGTCACGGAAAACGCTCCACTTACGCTCAGTCGAGTCCGAGAAATACACAGGAGACCAATCGGTATCAGCAAGCTGCTGATTAAACGAGTTTGTATCTATCCTGCTGATAGGGCGTCGGTACACACTGGATTCCCGGCGTGGCGCCGCACGACTCTCACGAGTGACCATAACACGAGTGAAGTCATGCGGACCTCCGTAGTGACACCTGGTGACACCGACACGTCTGATCAACTCCGGACGGTTAGTAATGACGACATCTAGCAGAGACCCGGCCGGACGATAAGTAGCTCGACACTGGTTGGTGATGTGGAGTCCATAGGTGATACAGAGTCTAATCAGGGGGTTAGTGTCACTAGTCTTCGCCTTAAGTAGACAGCAGTTGAGGTAGCCTCCGAGGATAAGTGTTGCTCGTGGGAAGTTGGCGACGCTCGTGGGAAGAACAAGACGCTTGTTCTCCTTTTAGACGCTGATGACGGCGATTTAGCCGAAACGCGTTCGTCTATCATTTTTGTTCCGCGTTATTATACTTGTCTCAACTGAAATACAAACCCTTGATAATAACAAACCATGTTACTTCTGCAGGTACTTCTGAACATGGAGCTGCCAAAGGAGCACCTGGAGGGCCTCAGGCTCTGTACTTCTCTCTCAGACAAGTCATTCAAAGCTCTTATCAGGCGCGCTCTGCTGGATGGCAGCGATCCTTCTAAAAGAGAGCATGTGTCATGTGAGTAAGAGCAATGACTGCAGCAACTGTAGCCCAGGCTGTTCAGGATGTCATTTTTAGTTCAATGGTCATGGTAAACGATATGAGTTTTGTTTGTGCCACTAATTTCCATTATCAACTTATCTGAATTGCTTACTAATTTGGCTTTGCTATGCCCAGTGCAACGTTACGCTACATTGCCAGTGTCACAGGATCTGAGAATCTCAAGCATTGATCTTTCCCCACCCATCCCCAGCTCTGCAGGTAAAGTGCCGTGATACTCCGGCCGACACTCTGGTGCGTTGTCACGCCGCAGTGCTGGCCACCTTTCTCGAGCACGTGCGGTTCTCGGGTGGCGCTTCTGAGACCACCTCCACCGCCCGGCTTCAGGCCGTCCTACAGAACGCTGGTTGGTCTCCCGACCGACAGGCGGCGCTAGTGTCGCTGTCAGCAGAGGCGGCGCCGGCAGCACGGCGCCTGCTGAGTTCCCTAACCCACGGGCCGTCGCGTTTGGTGGACTTACGCTGGCGGGAGCTGGCTGATGTCGCCTGCAGTATATCCGGCGCTGCGGAGTCCTCCCAAGAGGCGCAGTTTGAGGTGACGCTCGTGATGGAACCTCCCGGGGGCGGGAGGACGGAGGAGGTTACGATGGCCGCCTCGAGACATCAGCTCCAGAACGTGTTGGCGGAGCTGCGACAGGCGGGGAGGGCGCTGCAGAGTCTGGCTGAGGGCACCGCCACGCCGCCGCCGCCACCGCCGGTGCCGGAGTAGCCTGAACTGAGCTTTAGATAAGCCCGAGCCATGTTGGTGAATGCCATTGTGATAACATGGGACCATATGTTAGGGTGGTTGCGCTATACATGGCTCGAATTGTGTGCATATCATGTGTTTTGAAGCGTTATGGTCTGTATTTGCTCGCGGTCGTAGTTGGTACGTGCCAGTGTTTCCTATTTTGGAGAATATCGTTATTGTTATCGAGAACTGCTGTCTGTCGTTACTCGCTAGTCGCCTTGAAATATGTATCAGATGTTCAATTGGCGTAATTCATGAACGTTGTTACCTGCATATCGGAACGATATATAACTACAATATACATGTACTTAACTGTCTAATTGAAAGAATGTATCTCTGTGAAATGGGTAACGGAAAATGGGTTACGATCACTTCACATCGTTCTAGTTTGTACTTTGCAATTTTCCTTGGCAAGCGCGGGTTCGGCTTGAAAAGTGTTGCAGCATTTATGGCCCATGACAGGATATGTGGTTGGCATCGATCGCCTTCGAGCAAAAATGCTCACAAAATGTCCAAAAGCTTCAGTGGACCGAAATTCCCATGAGGACGTTCCTGTATTCCGTCACTGCAGGCTTTGATCAGCTCACTAAGAAGCCACCGATAATAAATTCTGCACCGACTTTACCCGTTTATGACTGGTCATTTTCCGCTGACATCACTCGGCTGCTTGTGAAAGCATCGCTGCACATAAACGCAACATCCGCTCATGGCTGGAATTTTCCTCCCCTCCCCTGCCGCCACAAGTTATCATTGCTCTAGTTGAGTCCGCCGGAACCGGCAATTAGATGTTTGCCGTCTGTTTCGTTGCGTCAGAGTTGTAACAGCTGTGCCGAATGCGGTGTGCGTCACTTGCTGTACGTGGGGGAATTTTGTGGGGTTTTGACATCGGAACCGGATACGGTCCCCTTAAATTGCTGAGCTCTGGCGATAGCTGAATTTCCCAAAACCCAAAAGCTTTCCATCCGACTACATAGAGGAGAAACCAGTGATCTCAGATCGGAACTGGTTATCCAGATAAAAAATTACGGGCCATGGTACCGCCTGGCGCCCATACTTAGCACCCCATACAACCTTGCAAGGTTATAACCGCTTGGTTGCACGGACTGATACTTACTATCCTTCATATCTTGGTGCTGCTGCCATGAGGCCTATATAGTTCCCATATATTGGTTGCTGTCATTCGATGCAGTCTCCACGATCCAAATATTTGTGCTAATGTCATATGGCCTGATACAGTCTTTGTTTTGTTAGGTTTGGCCTTTTCGGTCTGGCGGGACCATTTCAGGGCCGGAAGCCGATGAGACATAGGCCTGGGCGAGCACCCTGGCAAGTCGCTGGGGCTGAGCCCTTCCGAATGGACCGGCCGACCGGCCCCCAAGCACTCTCTGCACCCGGCTACGGGCGTGCTCTTGCGGGCATTCCCGCAGGGGATAAAGTTGCACGTCCAGTCCGGAACAGGGGGCTGGGATGTGGACCGAGAAGGATTTTTGAATGTCCCGCTGAGGATGGAAATGATGGAACGGTGTAATGCAGTCTTCATAATTGAACTTATTGTTGTTAGTGTCATATGACCTGATGCAGTTTTCACAAAATGGTTGCCGTCATCCGAATTCCGATGCAGTGTCCATAATCCAAATATAAAATATTGGTGCTCCTTTCATATGGCCTATTGCAGTCTCTATATATTGGTGTTACGGTCTGATATCCTGATGCAGTCTCCACAGATTGGTGTTCTGTCACAAGACTTGATGCAGTTTCCACACTAATGTTACTGCCATGTGGCTTGATGCAGTCTCCACATATTGGTAGGGGAGAGTGGGGTAAGATGCCCAGGGTGGGAAAGACGCCCCACCCCCTCTAGCGACGAAACAAAGAATCGGACCTGGAAATTAACCCGCGCACCGACGGGGGTCTGCGCCAACTTAGTACCGACGGGGGGGGGGGGGGGGCGGATGACCGCCCCCCCTGAGATCTCGAGAACGAAGCGAGATAGCGACAAGCGGTAAACGGCATCGGATACGCACGGTCAAGATCTACAATTTTTACAAAGGTCATTTTCAGGTCAGGTCAAAGATGACGTCACAGGGGTCGAAAAAGTCAAAATGGCGGCGCTAAATATGGAGAGAGTTTTTCTCGGATAACTTTCGAATTAGTCAAGATAGGAACAAACTAAGGGCATCATCGTGATCCTCTCGTCAATCCGCATCGAATGATATATATGTTGACCTCGAAAGGTCAAGGTCAAAGGTTGACCTCAGGTCACGTGACCTCGAGGTCATCATGTATATCATTCGATGCGTCTTGACGAGCTGAACACAATGAGACCATCCACGCGTCTGTATCTTGTTCCTGTACGGAGTTATTGGCCAAAAACCTTTGGTGACCTTTGATGACGTCACATGACCTCACAGCTGCCCAACGGCAAAACAGACCTCAAGGTAGTGAAGGTTGATCGTATATGAAGTCATGTATGGTATATGGGGCCATTCCGATCCGTTTTAGTGGTAAAAACAGGGAGTTGATTTTTCCCCCATTGACTTATAATGGGGAGGTCGCGAAATTGACCTGACCTTAGGTCACCGATATCAAAATTCCGAGATATACAAATTGTAGCTACTAATGACCTAATAACATCCTGCGACTTTCAAAGGCCTCCGATATCTACTGTAGCTCTGGCACGGTGACAAAGTTGCAAAAAAGTGACTTGAGGTTGGGTCATTCAAAGTGACCTGGTGACCTGACCTTGAAAGGTAGGAGGTTCAAACTTGCACACCATGTGTAAAATTGATAAGGGAATAGTCATACCAAATTTCGCGGCGCTACGCGCCGCGGTTTTCCCGCTATTCGCGAAAAACCTCAGGGGGGGGCGGATATCCGCCCCCCCCCGTCGGTGCGCGGGTTAATGTTCTTAGCGTAAAGCGGAAGCCTGCCTTGTTAACGGCACAAAAAAATTGCGAAGCTCAGTTGGGCAACGGCTGGCTGATGACTGCATGTTTTTTATTTGCTGCTTTCAAAAAATATTTTGGTGTTAGAACATTGTAAATATCAAAGAAGGTAAATAATTTTTGCGTCCCTTGCTATAGTCGTGATACATTAGCATGCGTGTACTGTGTCCCAAACAGTTTGTTTCATGGTGTAGTTTTATGGCTAACAAATTGTACTGATTTAATGTTACTTCGGTACCTTGGGGTAAGATGCCCCCTGTCCTGATGGGGAAAGACGCCCCCCTAAATCCGTAGGCTGTCCTTCAAACAGCCCGTCAAATCATTTATTACATACTTGTGATGTAGACAAAAGCCGATCTGGGACTATTGAGAGTCCAGTACGGTCGGGTGCTCCCCATGCCGGTCTCTTGGCCCACATAGCGACTTTTTGGGCGGCATCTGACTCTGAGAGCCCTCACGACGGCCTCTGTGGGCCCAATTATTGGCTCCAGGGCCCCTAACGACATCCTTTGAGGGCTCCCACGTTGGCCCCACGGGCCGCACTGGCATCGGAGGTCCCCACGATGGACTCGAGGGCCCTCAAGCATCATGAAGACCTATAAGAGCCCCACAGTGGTCTCCGAACGCCACCACGGAGGCTTGTTTGGCCGCGCTGGACTATGATGGCCCTAACGATGACCTCTGAAGCCCCTTACGACTACTATTGAGGGCCCTTATGGTGACGTTTGGTGTCTACTGCAGGCTCGAAGGGACTACTGATTCGTTCAGGCGATTCACGTGCCCATTTATGTCACTTATAGTGCAGGGGGCATCTTTCCCAACGTCAGGGGGCGTCTTTCCCACCCTGTGGGGTAAGATGCCCCCTTTCACTTCTTCGGGAAAATGCTTAATAGCAAAAAAAAGTAATAATATTTCAGGCACGAAAGTGTGATATTTTTGGCGAAAAATGATGTCGGCTTCCGTTGAAACTCCAAGTTTTTGCTTTCCCATCGTCATTTTCGAATAATATATGACATAGTAAAACCCTGGGCATCTTTCCCCACTCTCCCCTATTACTGTCATACGGCGTAGTTATTGCGCTCTCCATATGTGATTGTTTCTGTCACTTGGACTGATGCAGTCTCCACATATTGGTTACTTTTATATGGTGTATTGTATTCTCCATGTATTATTGTTGGTACTGTCATATGGCCTATTGCAGTCTTCGAGTGATGTTACTGTCATATGGCCTATTGCAGTCTCCACATTTTGATGTTATTGTCATATGACCTGTTGAAGTCTCCATACGAGTTTATTGGTGCTTCTGTCATATAGCCTGGTGGTGCTGTCTCCATTTATTGGTGTTCATATTGTCATATGGCCTGATGCAGTCCCCACGTATTCGTGTTATTGTCATATAGCCTGGTGCAGTCTCCAAAGATTGGTGTCGCTGTCATCGCCACATATTGGTGCTACTGTCATATAGCCTGGTGCAGTCTCCATATATTGGTGTTACTGTCATATGACCTATTGCAGTCTCAAAAGATTGGTGTTGCTGTCATCTCCACATATTGGTGCTACTGTCATTTAGCCTGGTGCAGTCTCCATATATTGGTGTTGTTGTCATATGTCCTGATGCAGTTTCCATGCCTTGGTGTTATTGTCATATGGCCTATTGCAGTCGCCAGTCTCCACATATTGGTGTTATTGTCATATGGTCTATTGCAGTCCCCACATGACACATACGAGTATTGGTGTTACTGTCATATGACCTATTGCAGTCCCCATTTATTGGTGCTACTGTCATATAGCCTGTTGCAGTCCCCAGTCCCACATATTGGTGTTACTGTCATATGGCCTATTGCAGTCTCGAAAGATTGGTGTTGCTGTCATCTCCACATATTGGTGCTACTGTCATATAGCCTGGTGCAGTCTCCATATATTGGTGTTATTGTCATATGTCCTGATGCAGTTTCCATGCCTTGGTGTTATTGTCATATGGCCTATTGCAGTCTCCACATATTGGTGTTACTGTCATAAGGTCTATTGCAGTCTCCACATATTGGTGTTACTGTCATATGGCCTATTGCAGTCCCCACATACGAGTATTGGTGTTACTGTCATATGAACTATTGCAGTCCCCATATATTGGTGCTACTTTCATATAGCCTGTTGCAGTCCCCACATATTGGTGTTACTGTCATATGGCCTATTGCAGTCTCCAAAGATTGGTGTTGCTGTCATCTCCACATATTGGTGCTACTGTCATATAGCCTGGTGCAGTCTCCATATATTGGTGTTATTGTCATATGTCCTGATGCAGTCTCCATATATTGGTGTTATTGTTATATGTCCTGATGCAGTTTCCATGCATTGGTGCTACTGCCATATGGCATGATGCAGTC